GAAGGGTCTTCAAGGTGTTCAGAGTCTCACTACTAGATCCGACTCGTAGTGATCCACCTGCTTACAGCCTCCCAAGTGCTGGGATTACAAGCACGTGTCTCAATTGTTGTCTCAGCACACCCCGGGGCGGGGTGGCATGGCAGGCCTGGGGATCAGCAGGCCTGGGGATCGAACCCCCAGCCCCTGTGCCTGCTTGCAGGCACTTTAATCCACTGAGTTATTTGGTTGGCCCACAAACCTTTGGCTTTGAGATGGAAGCCCTGGAGAAGAACCAATAGTTAGTACTATTGGTGTAGTTAACAGAAAACAGCCAGAGCAAGGTAGAAGCTGCCTCCATGACGCTGGCATCTAAGCTGAGTACAAGGCCAGACACACAGCAGGATGCAGGCATCGAAGATGTGCCTCCTCTGCCCTTGTGGCTGCAGACAGGGCAGCCACTTGTGACCTCTGTGACCTCACGCCACAGCCAAATCTGACTGTCCAGGTTTGAGTGAAGAGTTCTAGACTGGTGAAGAGTTGGGAGCTGTTGGCAGCCAATGGTTTTTAGTTTTCTTGGTTTGTTTGTTTGTTTGTTTGTTTGTTTTGTCACATGGAACCAACAATAAGCAGGAGCTGATCTTTGGAATAAAATCAAAAATTGAAGCAGATGCAGAGAAAGGAATATAGGCCCATAGGAGAAGAAAACTGACCAAGTTCATGTCTCTGGTACCAGTTCATTCCCTGATTATTGCATCCCTGCCTTGAGCTCTGTGAGATGCTCTGTCTTACCTTATGGCACATTCCTTCCTCTGCCTCAGCTAGAGGTGGGTTTTGTCATTACCCACGGTATCATCTACTGATGTACAATTCATCCAATGGCCATCTTGCAAAGCTTTCTCCCTTGCCTATCTCTATTCTACAGACTATTGCCTATTTTTCACTTTCCTAGTCTTCCTTGAAGTGGTAGCTTCCCACATAGCAGAGATTCAACAATAATTTCTTTGCAGAAGTCATAGAAAGGAGCCTTCAATACAATTGTGAAGGTTGGCCTGTGAAAGCTATCTTATAACTGTGAGAGTTGAGCATCAGAACAAAATTCAACACATTAAATATGGTAAAAATAAAGACAGAGTCTGGATTCCCAGGAGCATAATTTTGGTGCTAACCATAGCTAGCAACGGAGACCTTTTTAGGTAGTATCAACTCATTTTGCTGTCTTTAGCCAAAGAGCTCCTAAATGAAACATCTGCGAAATGAGTCTTAAGAAATGCAAAAGAAATCCCGCAGACTAGACCCAAGGTGGCCACAGCAGTGAAAAGCCAAGTGTTGGGGGTGGGGGTGGCTGAGTGGAGTGGGATGGCAGAGCAGAAAAGCACAGCTAGCAAGGAGCACAGGGACAGGAAGACTGAAGTAGACAGTGACAGTGGCTCTGTAGCCCAGAGGTGCTGTGCAGAGGCTGACTCTCTCTCCTTTCATACCACATACTACATGGAAGCTGATCCATGAGGTGGGTAGTGTTAGAATAGTGCCAAGTCCCCAGGAGGGCCCCAGAGAGGCACAGATTCAAGAACAGATGAAGTCACAGGGGCCCATTCTAGGAGAGAGGTTCCCACAGAGAAAGCAACTTCTCACCAGGCTGGTTTATCTGAAAACCTCATCTCAGGCTATTTATTTATGCAAAAGGAGTTGGTTGAGAAATGAAGTCCGAGGACATGGTATAAAGAGCACAAACTGTCTACCGGCTTGGGTTGCATCCCACTTCTGTCGCTTGCACAGAGCCTCGTGCAGACTTAAGCAAGGCCCTGGACTTCCCAGCCTGTCTCATCATTCCATCAAGCAACCCAGTGAAGATGGGGAAAGTGATGGCTACACCAAAGGGCAGTAGTGAGGCTTAAATGAGATAATAAGCAAAGTCTGAACCGGGGGCCAGGCATTTAATAAGGTCTCTGCCTTTACAATGGACTCATCTGCAGCTGACCGGAAGGAAAACAGCACTTCTTCTGCCTGAAAGGAGGCATCTGCCTCTTCCTCACTTTACATCCCTCCTGCTGAGGACTCTTCCCTCCCTTTCAGGCCCTAATGCAACTAGAAACACTGGGTGCCCAAAAATCCAAAGCAAGCCTCACAGAGAAGAAGCCTATCAGCAGCAGCAGCTGGCAGGTCAGAGGACAGATGTACCTTCTCCTCCTGCGAGGCGATGAGCCTGGCTTGCTCCCGCAGCTGGGCATGGAGGGCATTGATCTGGCGCTGGGCCTGAGCAGCTGCCTTCCTCTGATCTTGAGACAGGGAGGCCTGGAGCCTCTCATTCTCCTGTAGCTGGTGGGCACAATATGGTGGTCAGTGAAACGTCTTCCAAGACCTCTGCAGGGTTTCACTTGGGGCCAGGTAGGGGGTTTCTAGGCCTAGGCAGGTAGCTTTCTAGCAAGATTAACTGCCTTCCTATTTGGGCAGATTTTTGAACAATGCATAAGAAGAAGGAAGAATGGAATCAGGTCCCTGAGACCAGGAGAGAAAGTGCTATTCAGATGTAGCTACCCATTAAGGGCCATACAGGCAGGCTGCAACCAAAAGTCACTGGATACACATTTTAGGATAAAAACAAAAACTAAAGAAAATGTGCTAACATGCTACCTCCAATAAGAGCAGACATAAAATAAGACTACTGGGCCAGCGAGACAGCTCAGCAGCCTAAAATGCCTGCTTACGCAAACTTAGGTAAATGCACAGGGACTACAGTTTGATCACCAGCAACACATGCAGCACCAGTGTCAGCCCCAACCCTAGGGTGGGCGGAGCCAGCAACACACACACACACATACACACACACAAAATTAAATTTAAAAAAAGACATTTTTGGTACAGGGTCTTCAGGGTCTACAGGGTCTCACTACATAGATCAGACTCATAGTGATTCTCTGTTTTCAGCCTCCCAAGTGCTGGGATTACAGGTGCACACCACCACAGCCAGTCTCAATTGACTTCTCAGTGTGCCCCAGGGGCAGGGCTGGCGTGGCACACCATGGATCAAACCCCAGCCTCTGTGCTGCATGAAGACTTTAGAAGACTGCATAAGAAGGAAATATACATCATTGCCTGTGGGTGGAAGTAGGGTCAGGTGGGAGTGACTTTACTCATGCACCTTAATGTGTTTCTTCCAATTTTGGAACCAGTTTGAATATATTTCCTATTTGACAATGTTTCAAATGAAATAAAGCCATCACTAGGGAATTGTGCTCTTCGGTAACAGAGTGAGAAGCAAGTGTCTGCTGTGTGTCACGCTCTGCTCTAACATCATCATCTTCGGGGCTTTCTGCAGGCAGCTCATGGAGCTCTTGCTAGCTGGCTTTTTCTTCCACTTGCCTCCCTTCAGGGGCATTTATATGGAAGAGTTTTCTTTGCCACAAGCCTGCTGCTCCTTGGGACATCAGTAAGGTCCATGCTACCGGCGCTGTCCAGGTTGGCTTTTCAAAAAACCTCAACATGCAATCATCAGATGACTCATCTGAGTCTTAAGAGTAAAGGAGGAGCTGCAGGAGGCAGCACTGAATAAAGGGTGTTTGGGGTTCAGGATACAAGACTAGAGGACCTCGCTCGTGGCCAGGAAAACTGTTGGCTAGACAGCTGCACCCTTCTGTGTATTGATAAGGGCCAGCAGCCAGGCACAGTAACAGCTACAAAATATCTGACAGGCACCTCAAGCAAAGATAGAAGGGACAGGAATCATGAGGAGAGTCACCTCTCTCCTCTCTGTCATACGCTCTTCCTGTAGTTCCTTCAGTTTCCTCTTCCATTCTGTTTTCTGAAAGAGATTAACAGCTTATTAAATGGACCCCTCTAGATATCAGTATTGTTCTAAAGCCACAGAAATTAAAAAGTAATGGCTCACGATTAAGCAGATAGACCAGTGGGTCAGAATAGAGAGCCCAAACAAAGGTAAAAGCAAACGGAAACTCAGCTGAGGGGATGGAGAGATAGATTATTAACTGAAGGTGTTTGAACAAGTGGCTAGCTGCCTACCAAACTGGGCCTTTACCTCACACCTTAAACCAAAGTAAATGCTAGGTGGGCCAAAGACTCAAACATCAAAAGCAAGAGCATAAAAGCACTAAAAGAATACATACAAATATATAGATTTTCTAAATCTCAAAGGAAGGCCACTAAAAAGAGTGAGAGGGCTGGGGATGCAGCTCAGTGGTAGAGTACCCCTCTGCATGCACAAGGCCCGGATTGGATCACCAGCAGCAAAGAAAAGGCAGGCAGACAGGCAAGCAGGCGGAAGGAAGGAAGGAAGGAAGGAAGGAAGGAAGGAAGGAAGGAAGGAAGGAAGGAAGGAAGGAAGGAAAACAAACTGATCCATTGATCATTCTGCACACAAGCACACAAACACATGTTGCAGCCAAATCACAATACTCAAAATTGAAGGACCAAAGAAAACTGGGGAAACAGCCACACCTAGAACAACAAAGGGCTAACTCCCACACATTACAGGAACTCATAAGTGGGTAGGAAAAACAGAAACAATGGGGAAATAGGCAAATACTGTGAAAAGATTTCATAGAAGAGAAAGTGGCAAACCCTTTAGAGCTGCCAGACCCGAAGCTCTCTGTCAACCTCCTTGGAGTAGACAGAACACAGTATTGTCTAATGGCTGTGACAACTGCTCCTCCCACCATGGGCCTGGAGCAAGGCCCACTCAGCAGTGGCCAGAGCCACCCCCAGGACAGCATACTGCGCACAAGCTTCCCCAGCTTTGTTCCATGATCTCACACTGATAGCATAGAGTACACTGTGTGGAAGCACTTACAGCACAGAAATTGCTATATGCTAAAAATTAAAGCTTATTGGCTCCAGGCACTGGTTATTAAACATTAACCCCTGGATCCCTCCCAAATATGTCCAAATCCAGAACACTGTCACACTTCCTGAATGGTTAGAATGAAATGGTGATAAAAAGTGTCAAATAGAAACTCATAGGTGTTTGGATATATTTTAGAAAAGATCTCAGGAAAACTGGACATTTTATACAGCCTCCCCTGAGAAGCTTATTCTATGCAATCATGCGTTGGGACAAAGGTCTGAAAATGTAGAGGTTTCATGTCTTTCAGCTTTGCTGAGTCCACAGAGCAAGGAAGAAAGGCTTTCTGCGCATGACCAGGTTCTTGGCTTGCTCTGGGGAGAACGGCATGGAGCCTCAGCTCACCTGGGTCTCCAGCTTCTCCCGCAGGGCCCGGAGCTCCTGGGCCTGCCTCAGTTGCTCCTCAGACTCCTCATCGCGCAGCGACCCAAGGTTGGATTCCGTCACTCTGTGGGACTGCATAGCCTGCAGCTTCTGAAAAGACCAGGCATCTTTTTATTTAGATGAAGATCTAGGCCAGATCTAGGTCTGATATTGACTTTTGCACCTTACCTGAAAACACTGACAAAAGGGCAAACCCTACCTCAACCACAGCCTTCCAACCCAGCCTCCCTAAACCTATGCACCAGCAAATGCTCATACAAATCAACATCTCCCTCCTGAAGACTCGGCTCTTGCCAAAGGGCTGCCATAGAAGAACAGCACTTAAGAGTGTCCTCTCAATTTCACATAAATTCTGCTACACTAAAAATGCTGAATTCTTCTGACTGCTGCCCCATTTCTTTCTCAGTCTGAAATAAACTGTAGAAAACCAGACACTTAGAGACCCTCAGGCACCCCAGACTACTTCTGCCCCAGCATTTCAGTTAAAGACTCCTTGGCAGCTCGGTGCACCCCTCTCTAAGATAAAGTTCTCTCTCCTGTCAGGTGACTCAGCCAAAGCAGGCTCTCAGACTTCTGTACGGCGGGGGATGGGGGGGTCAGTTTTGAGGAGCAAGTTTCACAGTGTAATTGATTTTCCTCAGTTCCTCTAACATCAAGGATAATATGTCCTACGTTTTGAAGATTGACTGCCTTACAGTACTTTTGATAGTCTTTCTGGATGGAATCTTACCAGGCTTCCCCCAGCCCGAAATTTTAAAAAAAGAATTTCTAAAATCATTCTGTAACTAAACTACACTGGTGATTTTGTATTCAACTTTGTACCCTAACAAAAGTAAAATAGCAACATGTTAAGAGGAGGCAGGTGTGAAACACAAAAACCACAACCTAAGTGTTCTTGTAGGGGAAGTTCTAAAATATTAATAATAAAAGGATGGGATGTCCCAGTTTAGAAGGATATGACCCAAGTTAGAAAGGAAACTGTGAATGGTAAAGATCGGGTCCTCATTTACCAATCCTCTGGATCTTCTAACCAGAAGTCACCCTACAACCCTAATAAGGTACTTTCTGAACGGTAACTTCAAATTCCACAGCTGGTCTTTCAAATGTCCACTCAGCCAGCACCATGTCAGGCAAACTGCGGAGAATAATTGAGCGATTTTTAGATGAGCCTGGGAACGGAGGCGTGGAGGTGAGTGCTAGGCGCTGAGGCCCACATGGTGGAGCCACATCTCGACTTCCACACATCACCCCTGAGCCAGTAGGGGAGCTTTAGGTTGATGGCTCAGGCCATGTTACGGTTCATATCTAGATGTTGCCCAGATGTTTTGGAAGGTATAGCTGACTCACAGTGAGGTGGTGGGTCTGGTGGGAAGAGGCGGGTCACTGGGCACCTGCCCCTTGCCCAGTTTATCTCCCTCCCAGCTCCTCTCCTTGTTCTCTGTGTCCAGAAATATCCTATTCCAGTCCCCCTTCAAAAAGCCATATCTATGTTTCTTTAGGCAAAATTGGCTTAACTGCAAGAAGCACTGTTGGACAGTTAATATGCAAAACCAAAACTCCCCTTGATGTTAGGGGGACCAGTGAAAGATAAATACATTTTAAGAATTGTCTCGAAACTTTTCTCTTGTTACAGAACTTACAAGGGAAGATATAACCCAGGAATAACTTTAATAAAATTTTCCTGCGTAAATTTGGTTGTAGACCCAGTAGATCTGGACTTTGGAATCTCAAAAGCTAGATTCAAATCCCACCTCCGACCCTTACTACTTCTGTGACCTGAAGCAAAATATGTGGCTTCAATTTCAATGCAACTAATATTTTTTTTATTTAAAAGAAAATTAATAAACTGATATACCTTCTCCTAGAATGTTATGGTTGTTTGCCTATTATAAAAATTAAAAATGGGGCCAGCCAGATAGCTCAGTGAATTAAAGTGCCTACTTAGGCAGACACAGTGACCGGGGTTCAATCCCCAGTGTGTCATGCTGGCCCTGCCCCCAGAGCACACTGTGATGGCAACTGAGACTGGGCATGGTGGCACGTGCCTGTAATCCCAGCGCTTGGGAGGCTGAAAACAAAAGGATCACAAGTTCCATCTGTGTAGTGAGACCCTGTAGACTTTGTACTAAATACATTAAATAAATAAAATAAAGATTAAAAATGTATGTAAGGTGATTTCCACAGAGGTTAGGAAATAGAAAATATAGTCAGTAAATGTTAGCTGCCGTATGTGACCTCCAGACACCCGGTGGGCCCCAACGGAGTATCGACACACAGCTGGTATTCAGAGAATGTGCACATTCCTATATCCAGGAGAAAATGTATTCATTAAAATTTTGCCTCTCTTTGCAGGCACAAAGCTCTGGTTTGGATCCTCAGCACCACAAAAAAAAAAAAAAATGATGCAAAATAAGGTTACTATCTCAGGAGTTCTTACTATATACCAGATAATGTTAGATACTGTATATGTGTTCATTAAATCTTTCAGCAACCTGTCTTAAATGAAAAAAAGAGGCACATTTAAGTTTTAGTGAAGCAGGTCACACAGCCAGTAAGCAGGAGCACTGTGAGCCTCCCTTAGGCTCTGATTCCAGTTTCCAGTTTCAGAATGTCTTAGCTTCAACAACATGAAATATAACTAGTGTCGACTACGAAACGAATTTTGAGAACAAACAAACAGGTTTTCAACAGAAAGAAAATCTTTGAAAGGCTTTTTATATTGAGCACCTCTGCTAGTGTAGAGTTCTGGTTAGCAACAGTTTTAAATTCATCCCAGAGTAACTGCTTTAGCTTGTCTATTTCTCCATAAAATTTGGTCCGCTCTTTTTCTTTCCATTCATCAAATTCTTTCTTCATTTCTATTTCCCTCTGACGAGTAAGCCCTGCTTCCTTTAAAAAAAAAAAAAAAAGAAAGAAAGAAAGAAAAGGCAAGAACAATTGAATCATTAATTCCACGTTATAGCAAATATTTGTTGAAGATCTGCTACAGCTCCCTGTCGTGTGTGTCACTATGGAGACGCAAAACATTCACCCCCACAGCCAGGGTGCCTGGCCTCAGAGTGGCCCTCCCTATCTAAACCATGAAGTCTCTGAGGAGAAGGACTTGTCTTCTCTTCCCTTATTCTTTACATTGCCTGGCACAGTTGGTGTTCAACGGATGTTTGCCAAGGTGATGAATGGTGGTGGGCAGTTGAAGGAACGAGTAGGCCACGTTCGTGTATTTTCATTCTATAAACAGTTACTGGACATTTCCTCCAGCCTTGGTCCTGAACCTTTCAGAATCACACCCGTGTTTTTTCCTCAAAAAACCAACCAACCATGCAGTAGAAGAAGTTAAAATTCAAGTTCAAATGCCTTCAGTAGGTGTTGACTAACAAAGGAAACTACAACTCTCTGCTCTACTTTTGATCACATGGGTCTGGCAATGATCACAAATGATCTGGTGTTTCCTTCCTAAACTCCCTGAAATAATTTGCCACATCCAACAAGGTGGCCCTCTAACTCTGGGAACTGTGCTGGAACAGTGGCCCTGTGGGATCCACGGGAACAGTAGTCTGCACAACCCTGGGTCTCTCTGACGTTTCCCCTCCACACCGACCTGGAGCTGGCGCTGTCTCTCCGCCTCCCTCTGCGCTTCCAGCTCGCCTTGGGTCCACTGCAGCTTGGCTCTCAGCTCTTCCAGTAGCTCCTCAGCTGGTCGTTGCTGCTGCTTCTGCTTTCCTGGGGGCCATAGCAAGAGAAAGTACAAGGCAGTGTGGAGTGTAAGCCTCTCACGTGCAGTCACACCTCAGCCTGAGGCAAGCCTGGCCACGCAGCTGGCTCACAGTGGGCAAAGGACTTAACTTCCTGTGCCTCTGCTTCCCAAACTGTAAAACAAAGATGATCACAAGAGCCAACTCAAGAGCTGTTTTTTGAGGATGAAAAGTGACAATACAAAGTGATCAAGACAGTGCCTGTCATGAAGCTCAATAAATGTAAACTATAATTGTCCTGTCATTTCAAATTAGTATTTTGATAGTCCTGACATACAGAAATGCAAAATGACTAAAGTGACAAAACTGGGATACTAAACAGAGTGCATATGCTGACCATTAATGCAAAGAGCCTCCCTGTACAACTCTGCAAGAGAGGAAGCTAGGTAGTGCATGCAGCTGTACCTTTCAGGTCACTTTTAAAATAAGTATAATTCACATGGACAGTGTTAAGGTTCAAATGAAAAGATAGGACCTTGAAAGAAATATTCTGACTCAGGTTGTTTTAGGTAGACACTAATCTTTTTTTAAAAAAGTTTGGTAGTACTGGGGATTGAACCCAGCCAGGGTCTTTGTACTGAGCTACCTTCTCATCCTTTTCTTTTTTATTTTGAGTCAGAATCTCAGTAGTGGATAAGCTGCCCAGGCTGCACTTGAACCTGTGATCCTCCTGCCTCAGCATCCCAGAGTGCTGGGATAGATCTATGCCCTAATGCCTGGCTAGCGTTTTTTAATTAACAAACAAAATTGCATATATTTCTCATGTAAATCATGTTGTTTTACATTATAGATGTAAATACGTGTTGTAGAATGAGTAAATCTAGCTAGTTACCTCACATCATTTTTGTAATAAAAACTTAAAATACTCTCTTACTATTACCTCAAGTTTTTTAAGTCATAAATGACTCACTATGAAGTACAAAGCTAAGCTACATACAGATAAAGCAAGGGTCAATGAAAAAGACGTCAATTATTCTCAAATATTTGTTAGCTTTTAAAGTACAAGTAATTTCTAGACAGATGGTACTATTATTAAAACATTAAACCTTCCTTTGACAAAAGATATAGCTTTCCTCGATTTAGTCTTTTTGGAAACAATTTCTAGGTGGACAGAAATTATTTTGGTTGAATGAAATGATTTCAGGTGCATCTAGACAAGGAAACAGAAACCAGCTGCCTAGAAATGAAAAGTCAAGAACCTGAATGACTTTTTAGAGTATTTTCCCTCTCCTTGTAGTAAGGAAATATTAAGAACCAGGCACAAAGGGTCACATAGGAGAACGCTGATCATCCTGTGCTGTGAAAATCCTGAGTAACCAACACATATATTCAGGGGGGGATAGTATGACATAAATTTATGATCATCACATAATAGAATACCATTCAGCTATTAAAAATCACATTTTCAAAGATGACTTAAGACATCAGAAAATCTAATGTCATTTCTGTATCAGAGGCACATATTTGTTAGAAAACAAGTATATAAGACATGCAAAATTTATTTTTCCTTAGCCCCAGGGCAGAGTCAACAAAAATTAGGCATATAGAATGCATAGTAACTAGGTAAGTGATACTGTTTTAAAACTCTTTTTAGAAAGGGGAATTGAGATGATGGAAAACAGGGTGGGAGAAAGGTTTCCTTAAACTTTCTATATATTTATTTTGTTTTACAGGTATTTCTATTACATCTCAAAATGTAGATATCAAGTATGAAAATGTTTTTGTGGGGACAGCATACAGCCTTGCTCTTCATGTTAGGATTTGAAATGGTAAAATTAAACAAAGTGATTAAGTAATGATAAGCTCAGGTACATAGGAAAGCCAAAGAACTGGTTTGACTGCTCATTTACCCCATTTAAACTTATTCAGAGCCTGCTTCCCAGAGCTGCAGACTGACCGAAGGTGGGAGGTAAGGACCCTCCAAAGCTCCTCCGTCTGACTGTCCCATTCCCAATGAAAGCCACAGAAATTCAGAAACCAAGAACTGACTAAGGCTGCATCATGGAAAGAGACAAAGCGAAGGCTGGAGCCACCTGTGCCCTTCTCCGCAGAAGTGCTCAGAACTCTTCTGGCCTCTCTAGGACACCCCTTGGTGAATGGTGGGATGGCTCCATCCTCAACTAAATGATGAGGGCAGCTTGGGTACACATTTGTGTGCTGCCTGGGCCCACTGCCCAAGCCGCGGGCCTCTCCACAGTCCCAGCAGAGTCCCCAGCTACTGCCTGGACTCACCAGCGTCTGCCACACCTGCATGCCTGCGCTGCATGTGGCCCCGGAGAAAGGTGGCGTTCATGAAGGTCTTGTCGCACAGGTGGCACTACACCAAGGAAAAGCAATAGGGAGTATGAGATTAGATCCCCTCCATCAGCCTGAGATTTCCCCTTTGCCAAAAATTCCCTTCCCTTTGAATTCTTGGATTGCTTCAAAAATAAAGAATTTGAAGGGCTCCATATATAGCTTAGTGATAAAATGCATGCTTAGTGTGTGCAAGGCCTGAGGTTCAATCTTCAGCACCACAAAAAAAAGGAGAAAAAATAAATAAAAAAATGACTTACTCTGAGTCAGGAAGTGATTCAATTCAAAACACTGCCACTGCCCTAAAAAACTGAAAATTGACTGACTGATGATGCTAAGGAATTTCTGTTGATTTTTCAGGGTATGATGATGTTTCAAAGAGGGAGCTCTTGCCTTTTAGAGATACATACGGAAAAGCTACAGAAATAATCACACATACAATTAGTATGCTTCAAGTCAATCTAGGTGTGCGAAAGTAGGCAGGGAAATAGACGCCACATCACTGACCATGAGTTGAGGACAGCTAGGCTAGGCAGTGTGTAATACCCTCTCTATGTCTACATATGCTTCAACACCACAGGCAGAGGACAGCAAATACACAATGTCTGTATCTCTACCTCTCTCTCTTAAGGCATGGCACTTGCAGTCTCTCTATCCTGTTGTCTTTTCACAGTCAGACTTCAGAACTCAGCTCAGCACATTTTTGCTAGTTGATCAGAGTAAAGGGGAATTTGATGAAGAAGGACACCATTTCTCACCCCCTCCTCCTGCAGAGCGGTGGCCCTAGGGCTGGAACTCAGGCAATCATCTTTGGCAATGAAGAAAGCCACACATGAAGAATTGTGTCCCTAATAACTGTGCCATTACACACTAGCCCTGGGTTCCTTACATTCAGACTTCATTAATGAAAAACAAAAATAAGCTTCTATCTGGTTTAAATAAATAATCTGAGATTGTCTGTCACTCACAGTCTAACTCTAATCCAAATGGATATAGCAAAGACAAGCTAGAGTCTGGTGACCACCTGATTCCTAAGACAAGCCAGACCTGAGTTGCTCTGTCTCCCCTGGACTTTTCAGTTAAGTTAATCAGTAAATTTCCTCCTGGCATTAACCAGGTTAGACTGCTGGGGTGGTTTTGTTTTTTGTCTTTTCTGAGACAGGATTTCACTATGCAGTTCAGGCTGGCCTTGAGCTCATTTTGTAGCCTAGGCTGTCCTTGAACTCACAATGACCCCCTTGCCTTGGCCTCCAGAGTGCTGGAATTACAGATGTGCATCAATCACCATGCTTGGCTTTAGGCTGTTGTTTTATCACTAACCACTAAAGAGGTACTAACTTTTAAGTCAAAAACAACATATCAATTACTATTTTATCAACTAATGCTGTATCGCCAGGATTCCTTTGTCCCATGATGGTGTTGAACTATAATGAAGTTATACAGTTGGCCTCCATCCCTGCCTGGTTCCTGATACAGAGCTCCTAACACCCATGTCATTTCCTGAGCAGTAAAAATGATAGCTTCTTTTGTAATACTCTTTGTTCTTAGTATATGGTTCTTAACACAAGACCTTCTGGGCTCCTTGGGCTCATAGCAGGGACAAACTCTCTTTTATATCCTTAGGTGGCTGACTGGTGGCTGAGAGCCCCTGGATAGCTTTAGGGTGAGAGCTGATCACCAGAAAGATCAAGGTAGGCCTGAAGGGTCAGAACTTCAAACCCTACCCTCTGAGCTCTAAGGAGGAGAAAGGGGAGATTTTTACTTAATCACAACAGCCAATACTTAATCAATCAAGCCTGCCTGGTAGAATCTGCATTAAAGCCCCAAATAATGGGATTGATTCTGAGAATTTCCAAGGGGGTGATCACGCTGAAGTGTCAGGGCCCACATACTTTGCCATGCGCATGTCTTCTGCTGAACTCTTCTGACTTTGTAATAATCCAGGAATAGAGTGTCTTGCTGAGTTCTGTGAGCCATTCTAGCAAATTACTGAACCTGAGAACCATATCTTGGGAACCTTCTGTTTTAGTCAAGGAAGTACAGTGTTGGGAGTGAAGCTACCTGTACCTTGGGTATCGAGGACAAGGCCACATAAAAAGTGTACACAGCTCACAGAGCTGATGCATGTAGTGACTTGATCTTCACTTCTGATATCACAGTTTTCTCTTGTCCCCATGAAGCCACCACATGTTTCCCATAAAGCCACCAAGACACACTCACTGTTCTGGTAATTAGATTAGATTTCCTTCCTTCCCAGATTCTACCCTCCCTGTAAACTCTCCATGAACTTATTCATATGCTGATGATAGAAATAAACTCACTGCACATGCTAGGTAGTTCCTTTCTCCTCTCAGGAGAGAGGGCTCCACCTGACCTCAGCTTTTGTGTATTGATTCCTGTCTGTTTTCATTGCCCACCATCCTCCCTCTGGAGTTTCAAGAGCAGTGCTGGTCATGGCAGTACTGGAGGCCCAGGGCTTGCAATTGGCACCTGAAGGAGAGCTAGTCTTAAATGGTTACATGGGACCTGGCCCTGTCTCCAGGTAAATGGTGTCAGAACTGAGTTAAATTGAAAGATGCTCATTGGTTTTGAAGAATTGGATAGGGAGAAATCCACACATCAGATGTCACAAATTTTGTGAGAAGAAATGGATTGTCCACTCACCACCAAACTGAAAACCTAAACCACTATGACTTGTGCTTACAGCCTCTGGGCCTGGTAACCATAACGATTTATTAAAGGGCAAATGTTCCTAACTGTATTAGTCACTTTTTCATTGCTGGCACAAAACAGCTGACACTCACAATGTAGAAGAGGAAAGGTTTATTTGGGCTGATAGTTGACCAAATCCAGTGGAAAAACGATGGTGGAAGGGGATAGCAGAGGAACACTGCTCACCCCGTGCAGCCAGGAAGCAGAGGGACAAGGGAAGAGCCAGGCAAGAACACACCTCCCAGGCACATGCCCAGTGGCCCACTCTTCCAGTCAGGCCCCATCTCCTACCAGCACATTTCAGGACCCCCCTTTCAAAAGCTCCCGCTCTGAACTTGAGGCTTTTGGGGGACTTTTTTTTGTGGTACCAGGGATTGAACCCAGGACCCTGCACTTGCCAGGCAAGCACTTATTCTACTGAGCTATCTCCCCAGCCCTCCTTTTTTTTTGGGGGGGGGGACATTTTAGACCTGAACCATAGCATTAACCCACACTTTGTATGGAGAGGGACTCGAATACTCAAATGCAATGATGCAGTCACTTTTCCAAAGGGGCTTGGCTCCACTGTTATCTCAACATACACTGATTCTACACACACACACACACACACACACACACACACACACACACCCCACAGTGAGCCTAATCAGACCTCACAGGCTTTCTACCCATACACAGCATCTCTAAAATGCTCCAGACCAATGAGAATGGTCCAGAGCAGCCTTGTGAGTGACTCAGGGTGGTGTTGGCCAGGTGGCCTCCTGGCTGAGGTGCACAGCCCTCCATTCTTCCCACCCTGCAGAGATTGCTTACCGAATGGTAGTTGTGGGCACCTGTCTGCAGTAGCAGCTGCTGGAGGGTGCTGATCATCTTTCGACGCCGGCGGCTCTCCTCCCTTACACCCTTGAGCTCATCAGCCTGGCGGCCCAGCTCCTGCTGCCCACGCTGCTGCTGGCCCAGGCTGGCCTGCAGCCGGGCCTCCAGCTGGGCAACGTTGGCACTCAGGCAATCCTGGCAGTGCAGCAGGTACTCAATGATGAGCTGTGCCAGGCGCAGCACCTTGAGCAGCACTGGGTCCACAGGCTGTCCACAGCGGCTGCACACCTCCTGGTTCAAGTTGCAGAAGGTAACACCAGCAATGTTCTCCTGCAAAGTGGCCACGTCCAGCTCCTGGGCCACACGGTCCACATCCAAAGCATTTATGCGCCTCCAGTCTATGCTCTCACGGCGAGGCTGGAACTTGAAGGTGGGGAGTGTGTAGGTCTCATAGAGTGGGCTGCTGAAGCCTTCAGCAGTGGTCGCTGAAGACTGCATGGGTGAGAGAAGCCCTGAGCTGACCACCGGAGTAGGGTGCCACCAAGGCCACGGCAGCTGGCCAAGGAACTGAAAGAGGACCTAAAAAGTGAGGAGAGTCCATGTTAGGCCACATAGACTGTACCTTAAGAAGAGCAAGGCAAGGTGAGGTGCCTAGAAGAAGCTACAGTGTTTGCAGTATGCACTGCAATAGCCAGAGCTGCAGACGGGAAGAGTTGGGTTCTGAAGTCACTCAGGGATTTGGAGATTTGGATCCTCTGCCTTGAGTAAGTCCCTTCCCTTTAGATGTTCTGTTATTTATGAGGTTCAGAGAACTCTATTAGCAAGGCTGTGATGAGGAAGGAAGCAAATGAAGCACTCAATCTAGAGCAAGGCATATTGTAGGTCCTCAGTGAGCCCTTTCAGGCCCCCTGCAAGAATGCCTCCAGAGAACTTTGTGAGGGGGAGCTGGCAACTATATAAGTGGGTCCTTCTGCAAGCCTACACTTACCTCAGGATAAAATTCAACAACTTGCCAATTAGGTGGGGTCTGCCCACCTCCTATCCAAGTACTAACCAGCCCCGACCCTGCTTAGCTTCCAAGATCAGATGAGATTGGTCACGTTCAGGCTGGTACAGCCATAGACTCTGCCCACCTAATTCTACCCTAGCCGTGCCTTCTATAATTTTAAGATTCTAAAATGGAACATAGATGAACTACATTTCCCAGTTTCCCCTGCAGTGAGATACAATTATGTGACTAAGTTCTGTCTGTGCAATGTAAGGGAAATGATGTCTACCTCTGGGGGACAAGGGCAGGTAAGTGACCTGCCATGTTTCTGCATAGATTGTGCTCAGTCTGCAATGAGTCTTTATTTTGGGGTGTGTGTGTGTGTGTGTGTGTGTGTGCGCGAGCATGCTGCGAGTGGAATCCAGGAACTCACATATGCTTGGTTAGCATTCTACCACTTGGCTATACCCCCTGCCTATGGGCTTTAAAATAACAAAGCCTCACAAGTTAGAGAAGAGTTCTAGGTTGCTGCCAAAGATTTAGATTCTACTCTCAATCTTCTTGGAAAGCACAGAAACTGTTCTCTCTCTCTCTCTCTCTCTCTCTCTCTCTCTCTCTCTCTCTCTCTCTTTCTCTCTCTCTGAATAGTAATTTGACAATATCCAGGGAATTTAAAATGAACACTGTTAGTTGGGGATGCACTTCACTGGCAGTACGAACACTTGCCCAACATGTGCAACACCCAAGGCTTGAGCTCAAGTACTACAATCATTCAGTTTTACAAGTAGGTCCACTGTTGGTGGGAGTGCAGACTGGTACAATCACTGTGGAAATTAGTAAAGAGATTCCTCAAAAAGCTAGGATTAGGGCCAGTGAGATAGCTCAGTAGTCTAAAGCAACTCTTTAGGCAAGCTTAGGTAACATGTCCACCAGCCCTGCCCCCAGGGCAGGCTGAGCTGGCTACAATAAATAAATAAATAAATAAATAAATAAATAAATAAATAAATAAATAAATAGTTTAAGAAAAGCTAGGATTACAGGTCTCAGTTGACCCAGCTATTCCCTTCTGGGTATCTTCCCAGAAGAATTAAAAACATCATACCACAGCAATATATGTGCACCCATGTTTATAGCAGCACAATTTTTATTAGCCAAATCCTAGAAACAACTCAAATGCCCATCAATTGAGGAATATATAAAAAGGCGGTATTTTTATACAACAGAATACTACTCAGCCACAAAGAAGAATAAATTGGAGACTTTTATAGATAAATGCATGCAACTTGAGACCATACTCATGAGTGAAATAAATCAAACTCCCATCTACAAACATCATTTTGTCTCCCTGGTGTGAAAAACTGAA